GGAGCAGGGAGCCCGATGCGGGACTCGATCCCAGGACCCTGGGATCATGACCTGAGCCAAAGGCAGACGCTTAACCATCTGAGCCACCCAGGCGCCCTCTACCTTATTTTAAAATGAGGGATTGGTACACCCATTAATCTGGGCCTGGGTACTTCTTGGAGGTCAACTGGGAAAGCCATAGCTGTTCTGTATGAGCCTGTGGTGCCACCTGCTGGTCACCTTTGGGGAGGCAGCCCGAATCTCTTCAAATGCTCATTGAGCCCAGCTAATACTGTTTGATGCACTGAGGATACAGTAGTGAACAAGAGATGCAAATTTATACCGTTACGGGACTTAAACCCCTAGTGGGGAGACAAGCTATAAAACAGATTTATAAGTAAAACAAATAAATAAATGTGAAGAAGAAACAATCAGGCCTGGAAATGAAATGTTCAGATGTGTGGAAGCTTTTAGTAAGGATGGCAGGGAGGGCCTCCCTGAGGTAGCACTTGGGTAAGGCCCAGCAGGAAGGGAGAGCCAGCCGTGTAGTGGAAAACACAGCCCGTACTGATGTCCTGAGTGATTGGCATGTGTGGGGAACAGTGGGGGGGGGGGCGGCGGGTAGAGCAAAGCGCAGAGGAGAGTAGGTGGCGGGGAGAGGAATGTAGTGGGGCCCTGCCACGTGAGGCTTGCAGTCAAGACCTTCAGCTTTTAATCTGCATGAACAGTGGAGGCAAAGATGTGACTTAACGGGACGACTCGCTGCGAGTGAACAGATGGGCAGGGCAAGGTCGGAAACCAGGAATCCAGATAAAGGCTAGTACTGTGACCTCAGGGAGAGACAGTGCTGGTAAAGTGGTTGAGTTCCAGATAGAATTTGAAGGGAGAGGTGACATCATCTGCTGATGGATTAGAAGTGGGTTGTGAGCAAAAGAGAGTAGTCAAGTATGACTCAAAGTAGGTTGCCTGAGCAAATGGAAGAACTGAGTTGTCAACTGAAGCGAGGAAGACGGTAGGGAGGAGCTGGTTTGGGCAGAGTGGAGATTCGGGAGCTCAGTTCGGTTGGGTTAAGTGTAGAGATGCCTGTTAGACAGGCGGAGATGGTGAAAACTAGCTTGTCAGCTTTATTCCCTTTCTCCCAGTCTCTCCATTAGGTAAGTAGAGTCCTCAGATGGCCAGTGTTGAGTCCTCTCTCTCTCTCTGTTTCCCAGGAGACAAACGTCTTAGGTTTCAAGGGGCCGCGGAAGATGAGTGTGATTGTCCCAGGCATGAACATGGTTCACGAGAGAGTCTCCATCCGGCCGCGAAACGTGAGTCTCACCCCACCCCCCCGTCATCCCATCATGTGCATGCACTTCTGGGAGCAGAACTGCAGCTGCGCTGTGTTAGGTGTAGGGGACGCAGTGGAAGAAGCCCCGGGGCTCTAGGTGGAGGTCTAGGGAGATTAAGGACTCCGTCCCGAGGGCAGATCCCTTTTTAGGGCAGTTGTGCGGCCAAGGCACGGGGCGGGTGTGACTCAGGTGAGGCTGCCTTCCCAGGAGCACGAGACGCTGCTAGCACGCTGGCAGAGTAAGAACACGGAGAGCATCATCGAGCTGCAAAACAAGACCCCTGTCTGGAATGACGACACGCAGTCCTACGTACTCAACTTCCATGGACGCGTCACACAGGCCTCTGTGAAGAACTTCCAGATCATCCATGGCAATGACCGTGAGTGTTTCTGCCCTTCCTCAGGACTGTCCCCATGACACCCAGAGCCTTTAGCTCAGGGTTCAGCTCACCCAGTCCTGCCTTCATAGGCCAGAGCTCAAGGATGTGGGTTACATGGCTTCGATCAGAGGTCAAAAATTCTCTGACCCTATGACTGGGAGGCCCTTGGAAGAACTTTCTTTGGAGCCCTAACCCTAGACTCTGTGCACTCAGCAGAGTCTCAGGTGTGGGAACACCCTCTGAATGGACTTTTTCTCTTCTTCTCTGTCTCCTGGTATTTGTGTGCCTCTCGTTCTCCTCTCTCATCTACTCCCTCTTTCCCACCACTTCTCCCAATTGTTTTACTTCCTTTGGGCATGTCTGCTCACCTTCTCTGCCCGTTATGATTTGTCTGTCCGCCACCCCCCCGCACCTTCCCTGCCCTGTCCTGTGTGGCTTTCCCTGTGCACGCGTGTGCCGGGCTCCAGCGGACTACATTGTGATGCAGTTTGGCCGTGTGGCAGAGGATGTGTTCACCATGGATTACAACTACCCACTGTGCGCGCTGCAGGCCTTTGCCATCGCCCTGTCCAGCTTCGACAGCAAGCTGGCCTGCGAGTAGAGGGCCCCCCTGTGCCCTTTGGGGTTGCCCAGCCTGGAGCGGAGCTGCCTGCCTGCAGAGACAGCCCTGCTTACCCTCTCTCTGTACATAGGCCTCCCGCCAGATGAACCTTCAGCTCTCAGTGGCGCCCTGGCCCAGCCGGCTCAGACCGGACTCCTGCCTCCACTGTGGAGACAGGACCAGGTGGGGGAGGTGTGTGTGTGAGGGGCCAGCGTGAATTCTTCCTGGGCCCCAAGGTCCGTACGCACACTCCCACTCTTGAGTTAGTATCCTGCTGCAGCCGTGTTTGCCAAGCTGGGCAGCCTCTTCAGTTGGGAAGGTAGGAAGAAACAGAGGGAGAGGAAGCACAATGCAGGGCTCCTGGGGCCCAGCCATCCACTCAGTCTAGGACTTAGGTGACAGTGGGTCCCCGACAGTGAAGGGCACAGTGTGGGTGTGTATGTGTGTGTGTTGGGTACATCGATTTTATATAGAAGGGCTAGGATCGGCTTCCAGGCCCTTTGCTGACTCCGGAAGGGCTCAGCCAGGCTGGGAGAAGTTACGGGGGTTTGGGAAAGGTGAGTGGCAAGAGCTTGTCAGGACTGCGGGGGTCCGGCTGGCGAATTGGTTGGTGGCCCAGGGTTCCCGCCCATTTGATTTCTCTAGGTTTTCTCTGTGTGCACGGAGGCAGCAGGAGGCCGGGGCCTGCGGGCCCCAGGCTCAGCATGCGGGAGGTACACAGCACACGCTGCCTGAGGAGCTTTCTGCGGGGCAGCTTGTGCAGAGTGCCCAGGAGACGCGGACGGGGCCGGGCGCCCAGCCTCAGAGGGCACTCAGGTAGGCAGGCCTGGGCCTCTAGCTGGCAGGGCAGCGGTCCTAAGCCATGGCGTGTTCCAGGAAGAAAGTGTAGCTCCAGGGGCTCTGGCCGGTGCCTCGCAGCCCCTGTGCGCAGCCTAGGTCGGGGCTGCTGAGGCCTTGCGTGTGGTTCTTCTGGGCTGGGAATGGGACAGGGTGAAGAAAGGCAGGGAGTACGTTAGAACCACAAGAGAGGAGAGGTGGCAGAAGCCTTAGAGATGAACTAGTACAACGTGTCACTTTAGGGGAATCACATTTAGAAGATGGACTTGCACCGGGTCACCTAGCTGGTCAGTGGCCGAATTCAGAACTTCCGCCCCCTCGATTTCTTTGTTCCTACCATCCCCCGAGAAACTGCTCTCTCTGGTTCTCTGGCCTTCCTGGGCCCCCGGTCTGCATGCCCTCCCCCTTTTGTCTGATTACAGAGACTTAGAAATGTCGGAGTTGATGTACGAAATTGAAACCGTTCTCAGAGGGAAATTAGGCAGTTTCCTGCTGAAAGCTGGCTTTTTGAACATCAGTCTAATCAGGACTGCCCAGTGTCTGGCTTCTCCCCGAAGGCAGGCCTCACGAAGGCCGTTGCGCCTTTCTCTGTTGGGGTGTGGTGGGTGAGGCGTGAGTGTTCCAGGGCGGGGCCTGATCTCCACCATCCTCCTCTTTGGATGGCACTCTTGACCCTGAAGCCTTGGGAACGCTAAGCTCTTGCCTGCCATTGACCCTGGCGGAGGCTGCTTGCCCAGACGGAGGCCAGAACTCAGTGGGAAGCAAGCAGGAGTTGTTCTTCCCTTCAGCGGAGATGTGCTTGGAAAGGCTGCATAGAAATTTTTGGTTTAAATAAGTCCTACTTGAAACATTCGAGTGAGGCTCTGTAGTGAGGGGGAGTGGTTCTGACTGAAGTGGTAGGTAGCAGTGTGTTCTCATTTCCTTAGAAGATTTCCTATGTGGAGTGTTCTAGTGGGGATCTGGGTGAGGCCCCTCTACGGGACTAGTTTCTGGACCACTCCTGGGGTCATTCTGAGGGCACTAGACTTTTTCACACTGGGGCTGATCCACTTTTCCACAGTCCCAGTTGGGCTCTTACTCTCCTGACTGGGAAGAGACCTGTTGACATTTGGGATGGTGGAAGCTAGATCTCGGAAGTCTGGTTTAAGCTGTTTCTCTGGGTCTAGGATTTTAGAGTAGAACAGGTTGATCTGAGAGGAAAGCCTGGCGCCAGTGTGGAAAAGGCAGAAGCACAAGGGCAAACGCTCATACCCTGCGTTCCATCGAATATGCAGGAGAGGACGAGGAGGGGTTAGGAACGTGGCTTAGAGCTTCCCAGCCTAGACATGGGGACGGTAGCTCAGCAGCAAAACTCTGTTGGGCACAGAGTGACAAGAGCAGTTGAGTCACCTGCTCGAGACCCAGCTTCACAAGGTCTGTTCTTAAGACCCCATTCCTGGTGATGCTGGTTTTCCCTGACCACTGGCCGCCTAGCCATGGGCCCAAAGACTCAAAAAGCTGCCAGGGCCCCTGGAGACCACCTGGGCTCAGCATCTCCCAGGGTAAGAGCTCTTGTCCTTCACACCCTCTACCCAGATGGGACTGGATGATGGAATGAGCAAGCCCTAAGGGTGGTGGGCAGCTGGGACCTCAGGCAGCTCCTTCTGTCACTGCTCCTGGGGCCACACCCTCTTCCCCCAAACAGCTCTTCTGTAGAGCTGTGATGTTCACTTCCCCACTCTTCTTTCCTTCTGGCTCCAAGGTGCTCTGTCTCTGTCTGTGTGTCTACGTGTCTGTGTATATTTGGGGAAAAGGGCAATCTGCAACTCACCCGCTGAGGTTTCTTACTACGATCATTGTTCTAAGGATGAGTAGGAAAGGAATAAGGATATTACGATTACCTGTGGATTTTGTTCATTTCATGCTCTTTGGTCAGAAAGTAAACCTGGGAAAGTACCAGCTCTTTCTTGGGAGAAAGATTAGGAGGATACCGTCTAAGAAATTTTAGTTTTTCAGTTCCATTTTGCATTACCTGAAGAAATTGGTATGTTACATGCATGCTTTGGGATGAATTTGAACATAGTCTAGTGAATGTGCCTTAAAAATCACGACACTAGTTCAGAAGGAGCAGTTAAGGTCCAGACGCATGCTGAAGACAGGTGTTTGTTAGAAGCCAGCGAGTGTGAAAATTTGGAGTCTGTGTCCTTCAGTGACAAAAAGGGCAACAAAATTGCAGAAGCTTGTCTTTGGTCTGGAAATAGAGCATTTACCTCTAAGTTTATATTTAGAGGAAATTTTAAATTTAATAAGCAGTGGTGGTGATTTCAAACCTCCTAAGGACATGCTTTCCTCACAGTGGGGTCCGCAGTGAGGGGAGACGCCGGGCGGCCCATGGCTCTGTGACGCAAGCACAAACCCTCTCCTGGCTAGAGTCCCTGGTGGTCCCTCACTGTGGCAACACTGGCCGCCCCTCCAGAATTCTTTGCCCCAGCTGAGCTGTACCTGTGACCGCCGAGCACACTTTTCCAGAGCTGAAGGAGTCTGCTGTGTTGTGGGGCCCAGCACTGAACGGTAGCGGCCCCCAGGAACAGACCAGGGCAAGGACTCCTGTTTGTGCTGGGTCTTTCTGTACCTCCAGTTTGCAATCTTGCCATCTCAGGATATGGGCGGGGCGGGGGAGGCATAGCAGAAGCGTGCGGATAGATTTAATTTTCTGACCACGTTGCGAGGCACGGTGGTCTTCTAGAGAGCACTAGTGCACTTACTTAGCTATGTGATTCTGAGCAAACCACATGATCTTCCTAGGTCGTTTTCTCATCTACACAGCTGCAGTAAGAATTAGGGTGAATGAAAATTGATCTTTGCTTTCATCACTACCTTTTCTGGCTCATCACTGTGCCTTTTTTCTTTCCTTAGAAACCTGTCACACCCATTCCTCTCTCCTGTTCTACTGCCCCTCTCCCTTCCCCCATCAGGGTCCAGGCAGAGCTGCAGATTAGGCCAAGATCCAGAGTTTCCTAGAGTGTAATTTTGAGTGGCTTAGAAAGGGAAGCCTGACTCTGGCCTCTTTAATCCTGCAGAGTTTCAAAGGGGACTTGGTCAGGATGGGGGGCACTTCTCTTGCTGGGATTAGCCATTTAGCCAGTTTTCCTAATGCCTAGAATATGTATGTCCATTTGCACAAGATTGTCTTTTCCTATTCTGGAGTGGTCGTTTTATTTTTGTTCCAAATTATCTGGAGTTTTAGACAAACTTGCAAAACTGTGCTTTTATTAAGTGACTTTTTGAATAAACTCTTTGCTATTCTTGAGCAAATGTATTTATTTACTGGTATGTGCAATGAAAAAGTTGGTATTTTCCCATGTTGACATTATATATGTTGTAGAACTTAGTGTTTGTCTAAGGACAGACCATACAGCAACAAATTAAACTTGAACTGTTTCAATACTGCTGTGCACTTTTTTTTTTTTCTATAAAAGGGGAGAAAACATTTCTTACCTACAGTGTATTCGTTCCGTCTGTCCTAAGAGCCTGGGGGTGGGGGTGGGTAGGAAGGGCTCACGGCTTGTTTGGAAATACTACTGTGTGGGCTGACACTGTCCTCCCTGTGGCTGAGCTCGTCAGATTTAAGGCTGGGCAGAACCACACCCAGGCTGGGAAGGGCTGGATAGAAGAGACTTCGGTTAGAGTAGTCCTCTGCAAGCATGGGCAGCTTAGTTCCTCAGTATGCCCCTAGGGGCCTGGTTCTTAGGACAAAAGTAAGGAGAGCTGGTTTTAGTTTTTTACCCTAGATTTGGAGTTTTTATGTGGCCAAGATCCTGCCAAAACCACGGCCCAGCTCCTTGGCTCTGCCTCTGTGGGAAACCGCAGATGCAGGTTCTGACCAGAGGTTTTTGTTGTTTAGCAGTCAGGTGAAAGACAATTAAATAGCCAAGGACAGGGTGACCATAGGTCCATGGCAGTCCCGGTTTATACCTATTGTCCTGGCATCATTCTAATTAAAGCTCCCTTTTCTCTTTCTCTCAAGGAGCCTTAGTTTGGACCATGAGTTATCTGATCACCCAAGCCATAGAAGGTACAGAGAGAGTGGCTCTCATAGGCCATCTCTTCTAAAGGTCCAGTATGCCTCCATTCTTCAACATGCCTTCCTCCCTGGGCCTAGTTTTTTAGAGCACGTGCACCGCTAGTCCTGGAGCTCACAAAGTGCTTTCCTTGTGCTCCTATTAGGACTAGGAAAGAGGCTCTCCTGACTGGCTCGCCCTCCTAACTTAACCAAGCACAGTCCCAGGTGATGCCCTTGTTTCCTAGGCCATTTATCCATCCCCAGAGCTAGGACTTCAGGCTCTGTGCCACAGTGCTCAAAGGTCACTGAGGACCTAGTACCTGGGGGCTGATCAAGTTCACAGCCCAGACCAGTTCTGAGAAGTGAAGACCATAAGGAAAAAGTACACATGACAAAAACTAGTCCTCTGATTTTGGTCATCCTGGGTTGTATATACACATAATTGTCATCCCTGAAGGATAAAATAATTTGGAAAAATCCACAAAGGCACTAATCTAAATGACCAAACACATAAATATTTCTGAAATATAAATGTTAATATATCCCAGCTGTATAAGCCAACCAAGAGTGAGGGCAGTGGGAACCATCATGAACTCTTAGTACTCCTGGCAGGAGATAGTTCCATAAGCCAATTTCCCCCAAAGATTAACATTCAAAATAAAGAGTTGGTTATAGGACATCTTACATACCAGCCTCATAAAAATACCTGAACATCCACATACTTCCACACTTGTCTCTGTTTTGTCCAACACCGCTCTTTCTGCCAAGAATGACCGTTCTTTTCCTTGGCCACCTGGAGAAGTTCTTAGCATGCCTGAAGATCCAACTCCCCAGTAAAGCTTCTTGGAAGTACTTTGGCAAAAATGATCTTTGTGTTCCTGCAGATTTGGGTCCACATCTCAATTACAGCGTAAAACCTTGTACAATAAAAGTAAATTAGCTACCATCTAGTGGGTGGTTAGCATGGAGGAGATGGGAGGGCCAGTGCTGTTTTAGATGCACTGATGATTCACATTTAATCCTCCTACCCACCCTGGGAGAGCTGGACTTCGACTCCCCTGTGTCAGGAGAAAGCCAAGGCTCAGGAGGGGTAAGGAGCCAACAAGAGTACAGATAGAATAGGCCGGGATGGAATCATGACCAATATTTCTCTGCCTGCAGAATTCACAATCTTGAGCCCTTTTACAGTTAATCGTTCATTTAAAAAAAATTGGACAAGGCTCCCACACTAAGCTTTTTTGTTTCTTAAAGGTAGGAATTGAGGCTCTGTTCCTACTGCCCAGCTGTGGGCAGTGTCTGCTAAATGAATAAATGAATGAATAAGCTAGAAAGAAACACACATCTCTAATAAGGGAACCATATATACTAAGGCAAAAAAAGAAGGAACCAGGGACCCAGGACTCCTTATAAATCAACCCCTTGCAGTGAAAAAAGGGAAATGACAGGGAAAATGATTTATCAAAACAGTAAAGAGCACCTACATTCTTTTTTTACCTTGAGCATTACATCTAGATCACTTCTAGTACATTTTAAAACTATACTCTCTAAAGTGAATCAAAGGTTCCACACACAGATGGATGCAATATACTTTTCCTACAGACTTAGTCTTCAATGACTTTTCTCTGTAACAAGAAACGTTAATTTCATTAATTTAAGAAATGCCTATTAGCTGACGTGTTACCTAAATATGATCCCATAACCTTCTGACAGCAGTCTATATGCCTATATGTTTGATTTTAGCTATTTTCCTGGCATTTTAGTCGACCAGGAACAATGGAACTCCAAAAGCCCTAACGACCTTTACATCATTTCTTAGTTTTCAAGTCTTCCACATTTCATGACGAGGAATGTTCCTGGGAATGTGTCTTCTTTAAACTCTCAGGTCTTACATGTAAACTGAATTCACTCATCCTTCCTAGACAGGATACATGGGTGCCATCTTATCTCAAGAAGACAGATGACAGGGGCGCCTGGGTGGCTCAGTCGTTCAGCATCTGCCTTCGGCTCAGGTCATGATCCCAGGGTCCTGGGATCCTAGCCCCGCGTCGGGCTCCCTACTCAGTGGGAAGCCTGCTTCTCCCTCTCCCACTCCCCGGGCTTGTGTTCCTGCTCTTGCTGTGTCTCAAATAAAATCTTAAAAAAAAAAAAAAAAGACAGGTGGCACCCTTAGAAATTAGGCCTTTAGTGAGGTTAAGACTGGGAGGATTTGACCAACCTCCTCCCCTTCCCAGCTTTCTCAAAAGACCCAGATACCTGAATATAGAATAGTCTCTTTCCCTGGGCACTGCTATAGGTTCTCTGCAACAGACACACTGCAACTTTCCTTTCGGGCTGGCACTTTGTCTATAGGTTCAGTCCTCATTTCTGTTTCAATTCATGTGGTGGTAAGAACAAATTTCCCAGAGGGCACAACAATTAGAAATAGCTATCCTTAAGTACATAGATTCTCTCCCTACCCCTCGCTCTCTGACCGTCTCGTGGAGGTCCACCACCCAGCCTCCAACCTTGGCTTTGCAGGGCAAGGATTAAAATCTCTATTTAAAGCTTCCTCTGGCCACTGAAGGCCAGAGGTACAATGGTGCTTCTGGGCTGGCAGTTCTGTGAAACAGAACAGGTATAAAGGAAGCTAGAGACCCAGCAAAACCAGAGTAACAGTCCCCCAACTGGTCTCTGGGCTCATTCACAGGTCGCTGGGAGCCTTCTGCTACTCTGGAGAAAAGCGGGTATCTGAGGCAGCAGCAGTGCTCCCCAAAAGGCCCTCACTGTGAGGAAGGGGCTTCTTCAGTTCACACAGCAGAGTCTTACCCTGCTCTGGCCCCATCATACCCACTAACAAAACGTTCTCTTCTTGAACCCAGGGGACCGCTAACCTGCGCAAGGCCCACAGAGTAAGGCATCCTGGACTCTATAATCTTCACTTTTGCAGCCTTAAGTCCTCATCACGTGTAAACTAATGTTTGGTCACAGGTAAACCATCTGCTCCTCCTAGCACGATGTCAGACCTCTGCCCCTGAGTGCCCAACAGATCAAACATAATTCCTCAGTGGATCAACTCTCTGGTGGAAGAAAGGCATGAAGAGAAAGAGTGAAGCTGTATTGTGTTCATACTAATTGCTATGGTGTTTTACAAGGTGACAGGTGTGTGAGCACCAGGAAGGATACATGATATCCATGGTAGTGGCCTGATTAGCTAGGATATTTAAATACAGAATGAAATTCAGGGCACAGGGCCAAGGATGAAATCAGAGAGGAGAGAAAGGTCACCGTGGAACTAGAGTAATGGATACTTCTTCAAACCAACTAAAGCAGAACCTGGGGGTTCCGTTTCCTCAATGTGCCACCTGTATATACTTTATCAGGGCTGATGCCCAGGCCTTCTCTGAAGTCTTGGGGCCATACTTCTTTGGTGGTTTCCTCTTGCTCAGTGTAAGTGTCTGCACCGAATCCAGCATTCTCTGCCAAGACCGCAGGATCCTCTTCTTCATGAAAACAGCAGGAACAGGTTTGTGGCTTTGCGTCACATGAGGTAACAGAATTCTCTTCCCCGGCTCCGGGGTCAGTGGGCACTTCCCAACCCAAATGATCTGATTCTTCACCTTCCAGCACTCCCATTCTTTCAGCTAGTTCTTCAGCAGAGGGCTCCTTGGGGTCAGGGTAATCCACCAGAATTGTTTCTTGCCTACGCTTGATGCAATCTGAAAGGTCATAAATTGGGTAAGTCTCTTCAGGGTAACCTAGAGAAAAAAGTAGCACAAAGTCTTACAAGGAATGTCTCTTCAACAGAAAGTATCAGGCTCAAAGAGGCTTCTCAGGCGGCAGCCATCCTATCCCAACAAATCCATTCAAAAAATCTCTAAGATGACTCTAACAGTTCTAAAGTTTTACTTGAGTAAATTCTTAGCGATCTGGCGGACTATCCCAGTGTTTTTTGAAATACAAACCAACTCAGAAGAAAATCCCTTCTCAAGTGCAGGGTGGTTAGGGCAGAGTAGAAGTCTCGCCCCCCTCCCCCGGCTTCTGCAATGACTAAGATTAAACAACGTGAGCCTTCAGTTAAAAAAAAAAAAAAAAAAGTACCAAACACCAGATGGAGAGAGCATAGCTCAAGGCTAATGTTTATAATTTCTATTTGGATCCATTTCCAAATCTTCCTGCGGTGGGGGGGTGGGAAGGGGGAGAAAAGGAAGACTTAAGCTCTTTGGGGAAAAAAACAAAAACAAAAACAAAACCACCACCACGAAGGCTTCGACTAATCGAAACAACTGAAACGGCTTGCGAGTGTCAGAGAGAGCCCCTTCAGCAAGACATGCCCAAGATCCCAAAGGACAAGCACTGTGTTTTCACAAGACAGAATTCCCATTGTTGGCTTCTTGGTCTCCACAAA